TGCCTGGTTCCGGTACCTCTGGTACCTTTGGCACAGCGTGGTCAGTTCTTGGGGCACCATTAACTTCATTCGCTGTCACGCAAACGGACGGGCAGCAGCACAAAGCAAGCACCAACAGGGCGCACAGCAGACGGCACGTCATCATCGTGAGTGTGGTCGTTCGGTGGTGTGGAGCTGATCTGCAGTGAGGGACATGGAGAGCAACAGGGGAGACGAGAGGTGCGGCAGACACACACAGAGGGCATACCACATGAGGAGAGGGCAGCAGCCAGGCATGCACCGTACGCCGCACACCACGCACGACACAAAAACACACAGCCCTGCCGCAACACCAACGCAAAGAAGGAAGAGGGAGAGGCAAACAGGAGCGGCACACAAGGCTCCACCGCACGCACATACGGCGAGAGCGGTCCGTCGTGTCTGCACCCTTCACGGAGGGTACGCACACACACAAGAGGAGGTGCAGCGCACACAGCAACACAAAAGCAAAGTAACAATAAAAAAGGAGAGATCCCCGCACACCACGTGGATTGTTGGTCCACGGGAAGTGCAGCCAACATTCATCACACGAACAATTCAGTTGGCTTTTGGCCTCCGTTCACATTCAGCGCACACCACTTCATGCAAGCACGGCCACCACCACAGCAACAGCCGCACACGCAAATATAAGCGCAAGGAATGGAATAATGCAACCAATCATTTATTTGTGTTTCTGTTTGGATGTTGGCAGATCTCCGCATTTTTTGTTATTGTTTTTCCGGAGGGTAAACCTTCATGCCTGGTCGTGTGTTGAGGATTCCTGCAGAGTGCACAATTTGTTTTTTCCTCTTGTGAATGTTTCTTGTGTTGGTGCAGCCAATAATTCGGTTTGTGATGTTCCTGCCTTTTGCTGGTAAATTGTTGCAGTAGATGTCACCTTCTTTTCGTTGCTGTGGCACATGATTCCTCACACTTTGTTGCGGTGGAAATGAAAATATGTGAGTGGACTCCCACACACCAGAACGCACCTTCGCTCCTATTTATTGGTGCATGGAAGGGCATGTGTGTTTGGTGGTGTCTCGTCCATATATTTTGTGGGTGTACATTCCCCTGCAGGCTGGGGGCGAGATGGCGCTCCGTCGCGGTGCACTTCCCTCGCATGCCGCCCACTGTGGTTCATCATGCATCACCCTCTCACATACTCCGTGGTGCCACACCGCTGATATTATTGCAGCCGCTGTGATCCCGCGTATTTCACGCATTTCATTGTGCCACAATACATCCGCTCGTGTGGCCGCCGCATCCAAACAGCGGTGGCCAACACCGTGAGCGGCAGTCCACATCCTTGCATGTCCCAACGCAGTGGTGCTTGACTGTCAGCCAGGCGCCAGACAACACGAGAGTCTTGTGCTGGCAGTACAACACACGGAGCTGCAGTGAATGACTCGGGCGGAGACGCATCTATTCGTCGCAAAGCAGTGGAAAGGAGTCGGGCAAAATAATGCCGGCTGCATGCACGACACCATATCCACAGCCAAGGCATGCGACGTGATGTGTGTTTCACTGGTGCTGTGAAATGCCTGCAGACGACGTCACTAGTGGAGGCATGCCACCCATGATCAGCGGACAGACAATAATCGGCATGAGAGGCCACAAAAGGCAGCAACGACGCCAGCAGCAGGAGCAGCCCTCTCTCTCTCTCTCTGTTGCCTACGAAAAGTAAATATTCCACCAGCCACTGCTGACTGTGACATCGTGACACTCCATGCACGTCGTGGCTGCGTCAACGCAACCTGTTCCCTGCAGCGCCTCAAAAAATGCCTCACTCCGTCCACTAAGTGCATCGGTGTGGACCGTGCCTCGGCTGTTCGTGAGGACCACAACGATGTGAGGGTCACCGAGTCGCAGCATGTTTGTTGTGACGCTGTTGCATGGCACCTGCACACACACACACACGCAGCGCCTGCATCCTCCCTGTTGTGTTCGCCCTGTGCCGGAGTGGCCACACACACGGGCAGCAGCAAAATCACTTCACCCTCGACGATCCAAAATCAACACCGACATCCCTCGCGACGCAAAGATCTCAGTTGCCAGCACGGGCTTCCTGCTGCTCTGCCATCGACGCTAAAACACGGCACAGTGCACGCACTTATTTTCCTCGTGTGCAGTCAGCCGTTTGCTTCACACATTCTTCGATGGGCTGACGCCCATAAAAGCACGCCACAAAAGGCCACTGTGATCGCACACGCTCTTGCGATGAGCGTCTGTGTGTGCATGGATCCGCTGCTCACACGTGCTGGCAGGCAGCCTGCAGCCGGTGCCCTCGTGCCAGTTCATCGGCTCCAGCACGGAAAAGAGAAAGTGGCCTATTCCCGATGCACTTATTCCCACCAGCAGCACCAACACGCTGGTCGCCAGCCGTCATTCCTCAGCACATCCAGGAATGCCGAAAAGTGAAGTGGAACTGCCAGCCAGCAACGCCACAATCCCCGCACACATGTCGGCTCCACCAGAGAAGACACACAAATCACAAACAACACCCTCCACATGTCATCCGAACATCATTCCAACACACCGCGACACGCCGAACAGAAGTATTCGTCACCCCAATGCACCTCCTCACACAATCACATAGTCCATGCCCCACGCACGGCAGCAGCTCACACGCGGTCAAACAAATTTTCGTCGGAACAGTGTTATCCACGTGCTGCGGTGGGAAGTAAACAAAAGAGAGACGAGCCGCCAAACCCCAAAAGAGTGCCACGACTGGCCACAAGTCAGCGGAACGCAGCCACTCAAATGAATTCAGTCCAAATACCCTCAACCTCCCACCTTCTCTCACAATAGCCCCAAGAGCTGCAAAAGATTGAATACAAGCGCCCTGACAAATAAGCTCGATTTGCAAGACCAGGAGGAATCGATGTGCTCCCGCTGTCATCCGGGGCATTTGTTGTCGCCTTCGCGGTGACGGACGCTAATCGTTTGTTCCAAACGACGCTGTGCGTCTGCAACGCGTCCTGCGCTCTGAGACGCGCGCGCCTCACTATCACAATGAGAATAAAACAATAGTTCTTTAGCCAGACCGAAATGCAGACAGTGCCATGCCTCCGTCGATGCATGGGAAGGCGGCGACGAGAATTCCGCTGCCGGGCGATGCCGTCCCCAAGGAACCGCGACGTGTTTGCAGTCAAATGGGGGTCTCCCCGGACCACATTCGCGCCTCTCATGCTGAGCAGCGAATTGCCGCCTGAGACGCTGTGAGCTGCAACGAGGTGTGCGTCTTCCAGCCGCGGCGTGCCCATGACACACTGGACGGCGTCAGACGATCGGCCCTTGAAGCGGCCTGCGCCTCTCTGCGACCGCATGACGCAGGCCGCTGAACGGACGGCCCGTCTCTCGCTGAGCATGCGTCTGGATCCGCTGCGCTGCCATTTGACTCCCCGGACGGCCGACCTCCCCGCGGGGTCTCCACCGCACAGCTGCTGGTTGCCTTGCACGGCCCTGCCGAGCGGAGTGTCTTTTCACCAAGCACGGCCACGGACATTTCTTCATTTCCCCGCCTGGCAGCGGCATCCCAATCGCCCACAAGAGTTCCTGCCGCCACAGGCTCCCTCTCGGCGGTGGAGGCGCTCCGCCTTGGCCCGCTGGCGGTGCACGACGACGTCAGCGAGGGAATTTGCGCCATGCCGCCTTCACTGGCGGATCGAGGTCGCACTGTTGGCTCCACATTTTCCCCATGGCACTGCGGAATCCCACGCAACGTGACAGCGGACGCTGACGCCGTCATGGCGCGATCCTTCCCGCATGACTGCGCCAATGCCTGGCACGTGGGCTTCCTCACCGCAGTCAGGCGACCGTACGGGAGGGATCTCCAGGAGGAAAAGGAAGACGCGCACACCGCATGACAGGCGCTCTTCGGTGTGGCGAGGACTCTCTTCCTGGCGTCCACCCCGACATCGCGCCCCGAGTTGCGGCACTGCGCGGATGCGATGCGACTCCTGCCCGCTCTTCGGCAGGCCCGCACGCGCCCTGCAGATCACAAGGAACCCTCTGTGTCGATGGTGCCATCGTCCCTCACCGAGGAGACCGGCCTGCCTCCGCCTCCGCCGGAACATCTTCCCGACGTGAACACCGCCACTCCTTGCCGACCAGCGAGCGGCGGATTGACGTCCTCCTGCCCAATCTGCGGCAGAGTGCGCTCGCCCGTCCACAATATGGAAGCACGCGCCCGACATGCTCAGCCTGGCGTTCCGATAGTTGAAGAAGTCCTTGCACGAGGATGCTGCAATGGCGCCAGCGTCTTTTTAACAGGCGCCTCGCGCGTAGGTCGCCACCGAAAATGCCAAGCGTATCGACGGGAAAAAAACGGACAAAGCACATCTGCAAGCTCCAATGACAATCATAGCTCTTCCGCCACCGCATCATCACAGATGCCACGGACTGCTGATCCCACGACGAACCACGGGATACTTCGCTTCATCGACTGTGGGAATGCCTTCGTTGTTGAGAGTAAGGACTGCGACTGTTTGGGAATGCCCAGCATGCACGACGGCCCGTATGCGACGGAGTAATTGCCACTTTGGTACGGACGGCCCTTGCGCTACTCAGTAATTGTTTTCACAACACGCAACGAAAAAGCAGAAACGAATTGTTTTTGTGATGAATGTTGGCTGCGCTTCCCGTGGACCAGCAATCCACGTGGTGTGCGGGGATCTCCTTTTTTATTGTTACTTTGCTTTTGTGTTGCTGTGTGCGCTGCACCTCCTCGTGTGTGTGCGTACCCTCCGTGAGGGGTGCAGACACGACGGACCGCTCTCGCCGTATGTGCATGCGGTGGAGCCTTGTGTGCCGCTCCTGTTTGCTTCTCCCTCTTCCATCTGTGTGTTGGTGTTGCGGCAGGGCTGTGTGTGTGTGCCTGTTGCCGTGGATTGGAGTGTGTGTCGTGCGTGGTGTGCGGCTTACGGTGCATGCCTGGCTGCTGCCCTTTCCTCATGTGGTATGCCCTCTGTGTGTGTCTGCCGCACCTCTCGTCTCCCCTGTTGCTCTCCATGTCCCTCACTGTGCAGATCAGCTCCACACCACTGAACGACCACACTCACGATGATGATGACGTGCCGTCTGCTGTGCGCCCTGCTGGTGCTTGCTTTGTGCTGCTGCCCGTCCGTGTGCGTGACAGCGGTTGACGCGGAACCAGGTGGCTCCGGTGAGCCGCCATCACCGGACGCACCAGGTCCGGAGAACAGTGCCTTAGGTTTAGCTACTCGTAAAGTACCGGAACCGGTTATGACCGATGCGTTTAATAAACAAGTTGCGGCCATTGGGGGAGAGCCATCAGAGAATTTGTCTACTAAGCAGGGAGGTACAAGTGTGTCAGGTCAGTCAGGGTTAGACGGTAAAAAAACCCATCCGACAGGTTCAACTGATAAGTCTCATGAGTCGTTGGTAAAAAATCTAGAGCAAGCTACGGATGAGTCAAAAAATAACAAAGAGGCTAAGGCACAGACACCACCAACTACCACGACAACTACAACTACAACTACAACGACCACAAGGGCACCAACTACGACGGAGGCGCCAACTACGACGACCACCCGTGCACCATCACGTCTTCGCGAAATCGACGGCAGCCTCAGCAGCTCTGCGTGGGTGTGTGCCCCGCTGCTGCTCGCCGTATCCGCGCTGGCGTGCACCGCTGTGGGCTGAAGAGGTGCATGCGGACTGTGCGTGCCAGCACTCAGCCACGGGAAATGTGTACGTCTACTGTGGCCCGATGTATGAAGTAAGAGTAATTATGATGATCGTTTTTTGCTTTGTTTGCTGCCGCTGCCTGCTGTGTGCTCCGCGTTGCTTCCCACATTCGTCACGTTGAACGCGTCGCAGAAACACTTGTATGCATGCGCAGCGGAGCCTTGGGTGTGGTTTTTTTTTTTTTTAATAAATTCTGATATGCAGGGTGGTGCGCTTTTTCTTGCCCTTACTGATTCCCTCTGGCATATGTTGTGCGCTGCTGCTGCTGTGGTGCTGCCTTTTGTTACAGTACGTAGTTGTGTGACTTTTCTCTCACCCTTTGCTTTCACTCTGCGTTGACGGGGAGTTACTTTGTGCTGAAGGCTACACGCAAGTGACAGGAGTGATGGCGATGATGATGACTGGCCGTGTGCTGCTGGTGTGTGCCCTCTGCGTGCTGTGGTGCGGTGCCGGCGGTGTTCATGCTGAGGATGATGCAGGTGTAACTTCACGTGGTGCCTCTGCGAGTGACGGCAAAAGTTTTCAGGAGCCACCAACAATTGTAAATGGAGGATCACACAACTCAGTTTTAAGAGCATCAGATGTTAATGAACAAACCGATGAAACAGATAAAGAAGTCCTTTTGACAAAAGAAGTAGCTGGTTCTGATGAAGATGAAGTACCACAAACATCGGCAGAAGAAATTCCACCACCATCAGCATCGCCAAAGAAATCAAAAGGAGGAGGAGGAACACAACAAGAAGATGATTTAGACTTGAAAAGAGTAAATGAAATTGTACTGCAACCTGAAAAGCAACGCCGAGAAGAAGAAGGACTAGAAACAGTTGGTGATGGTGAAGCGGCAGTAACCAAACTAAATGAAGGAAGTGGACCACAGCCGCAAGATAACCCACATCCAGTCCAAGAAGAGGATACAAAAAGTGGAGAAGGACATGAACTGACGCAGGGAAAAGACCAACAAATAAAAGTTGAAGCAAAAACACCCAGTAACCCTGCAGGAGATCATTCTTCGGGAGAACACAACGGCAATGATGGTTCTAATGAAAGAGAAGGGGGAGAAGAAAAGGATGATGAAAGACATCGGGCTCAGGAGAGAGAAGAGGCTGCACATGTCTCAGGTGCCCCGAAAGTAAACTCAACTGATATTCAGCAGTAAGTCCAACGCACACATGCAGCAGAAACTCCGACAGGAATCAAACAAAGAGCTGGGGAAGAAAAGGATGATGAAACAGAAGAGGAACGAGAGAAACAAATGGAACAACATCAAGAGAATCCTCCAGGCAAAGAAAAAGAAACCATAACTGGTGCAAACGCCACTAATCAAATAAACACGACACCTGGCGACAGTGACAGCAGCACCGCGGCCTCTCACACCACCTCCCCTTTTTTGCTTCTTCTTGCGTGTGCGGCTGCTGCTGCGGTGGTGGCCGCGTGAGAGTGAGTGAGAGAGAGCCGTGCACCACCCGCACACACACTCGTCCTTCACTCACTCTCTCTGTGTGTGTCCCCTTGCATGGACTCTCGCCCTCACCTCACCCCACGAAGCACACACATAATGTGCCCATTGTATATATGCATGCACACCCATGCAGGCCCGTTGGTGCTCTCTTTTGCACCACACACAAACACACCTGGCAACGAATTTCTCTTCTCAAATAACTTTTATTTTTCCTTTCTTGCTGTATGTGCATTAAGTTCTTAGTTGCTTTTCTCCCTTTTTTTTTATTATTGCTTTTTTTTTTTCTTTTTTTTCCGTTACTCCCCAATCCCTCTTTTTTGCTTTTGGGGGCAATCACTGTGGACGTTTTTTCTTTTCTACTCTTCCCTCTTTAATTGTTTCTTCTGCACTCTTCCTGTGAGGGGTGCCGTGTGTTTCCCGCCCAACTGCTCCACTCGCACACCCACCGACACGCTCATGACGACGGCCCTGTGCGCCTCGCCTGCTGCACGCATGAGGAGGGGCCGCGACGAACGGCGCGCTGAGGGAGCCGTGACGTGTGGGCGTGCGACGAGGGCCGGTGGGGCGGAGCACACATTTCTTTCCCTCTTGTTTTGTTTTCTTTTTTGCGGTCAGGGCGGGCAGACACCCGCAGCGCCACACACACACAGCCACACCCTGCCGCCGTGTTTTTCTTTTGTGTGGCTGTGTGTGTGCCGCTGCCACCGTGCGGTGATGAAGGGCGGAGAGCTGTGCCGGACGCATTGCCGACGGGCCACTGTGCACCCTCAGTGACTTCCTTACTTAATGGCTGTCTTCTGCACACTGTAATGAGCGAAGTGTTTCCCCCTCTTGTTTGCTCTTTGTTGCCCACACGCGGTGCCGGCCCTGCGGCTGTGCGTCCCATGGACTGCACGAAACGAGGATTTGAAGAACAGGCCGGATGCCGCATGAAATGTGGAGGATGTTGTGTGGGCTGGTGGGACAGTAAAGTCCTTTATTGACCTCTTTTTATTGTTGAGGGCAATATGTATACACAAACACACGGTCGTATTGTGCAGCTTGGCACATGAAATAAACGTCTTTCCGAATCATTGTGTTCACTTTTTTATGTTGTTTGGGAGTTCTTCTGGACTCTCACCCTTTTTTCTTTTGTTTTTGGTAAATCGCTACGGTTTATTTTTTTGTTTTTGCTGTCTTCAGTGTCGCTGAGTGTCTCCGCGTCCCGTTGAGTGTCTCTCTGCTGGCTGTGCTGTTGACATGCCCTCATTTCTTTTTCCTATTTTTTTTTCTGTTAGAGGCATTGATGTTCCGCGACGACGATTGTTTGTGCTCCCCATTGCGATGGCACGAGGGTGACTGTGCGCCGGACTTCTGAGTGCACACGGAGGGGAGCGGATGGTGTGCGCCGTGCCTCACTGTGAGTGTGAGACGCCAATCCGTCGGGGAAGAGAGAAGTAAAGCGCAGCGCCGTGGATTTGAATTCGACCCGTCGCTCTTGTTGCGGCCGCTTTTTTTTTTTTTTTTTGCGGTGCGGCGTGTATGGCGTTGCTTCTGCATGCGTTGTGCTGCAGGCTTTTCTTTTCCATGTCTTTGTCCTTTTGTGTGTGGAAAAGTTGTGGGAGGGGAAATGTGAGCGGGAGAGTGAGCGTGGGTGGCTGCTAGACTTGCCCTGCGCATTGGGGGCTTCCATGGAAGTGGATTTGCTTGACGGCGTTGCGCGGCACCCAGGGCGTAGCGAGGAGAAGGATGGGGAGGGTCTGTTGTGAGCAGAAGGAGGATGGAGAGGACAGTCCCCTTCCGTGTCCTTCCCGATGTCGTTGGCAGTACATACTGAGAGCGTAAATTTGCGCGAGTGCGGGATGAAAGGTTTATGCCGCTTTGTGCGTGCTACTCAATCGTCGTCATTGCAGGCTGTCGTCACGCTGCGTTGTGGTGCGGT